TATACCGTACATCTTATCGTACATCAAATATACCTTACATCTGTGTCGTAGTAACTTTGACAATGTTCCTGTTTTCTCTTTTGTTGAGGTATCAGAGAGTGAGGTTAGAAGTGTTCTACGGTGTGTAAAGACGAACGGAACTAGAGACATATACTGTGTTTCAACCGGGGCTATAAAATAAAACATAGTAACATTAGCCTCATGGTTGCGCCCCTTACCATGATGGTTAACAGCATGATACGATCACATACTTTCCCGGATCAATTGAAGATCCGGGATAGGATCGTTGATCAATTGAAGATAGCCTCCATTGTGCCTATTTTTAAGCATGGGGATAAAAACGATTGTTCGAATTATCGTCCCATTAACATTCTCCCGATACTGTCCAAAATATTTGAGCGCGTAATCTACAACCAAATAATAGCACATGTGGAATTGTACGATGTGCTTTTCGAGAATCAGTTCGGCTTTCGACCTGGTAAGAGCATCGGGGATGCGATTATTAATTTTATGAATGTCTGTCACAGCACGTACGAGGATCAGGAGTACTGTGCTGCTCTATTTCTTGATTTGTCTCGTGCTTTTGATAGTGTGTCGCACCGTATTCTTCTCCTGAAGCTGAAGTCTGTTTTTCGCTTTGATTAAATAGTGTTGCTCTTATCGAATCATACCTGTCCGATAGGTTTCAAGTGGTTAAATGTGGAGACAAAGTATCTGGAAAACTTCCAATCTCGAGGGGTGTCCCTCAGGGATCTATTTTGGGGTCCCTTCTGTTCCTCCTTTACTTTATTGATTTTCCTGGTTACCTGGGAGAGAGTGTAAAGTGTTTGTTGTACGCTGATGATGCCACATTGCTTGTCTCCGGGTTAAACTACGAGGAGGTAATGTCTTCCTCAGACAAACTGTTGACTGCTGCGAATGACTGGTTTTTGGTTAATGAACTATGTTTGAACAAAGACAAAACGGTTTAGACACTTTTCACCCTTAAACGCGATTGCTAGGCATAACGGTGAGCTCCAGAGATCTGAAATTTGATGTGCATGTGGCTGAAATTGGTAACAAGATCTCAAGAAACATTTTTCTACTACGTAGACTAGTGAGCTCGGTATCTGTCGAGGTGGCCAAAACTGCCTATTATGCGCTGATACACTCAATGATTGACTACAGTATTATTGCCTGGGGTGGAAGTGCAGCAAGTAATTATGTTTTTTGTTTACAACGCAGAGCTGTGAGAGTGTTGGCTAAACTTAGCTATAGGCAAGATTGTCGCCTCGCCTTTGAATTCTTGAATATCTAACGCTTCCATCATTGTTTATTCTGAAATGTTTGCTATATATTCATAGTAATGATGAACAGTATAAAACGCACGCCGACGTGCACTGTTACTTTACCAGAAACCGTACGAACATGTAGATTTTTGTCGGTTGAGTAGAACGCAGAAAGGTCATTTGTATATTGGTCAGATTTTGTATAATCAGTTACCGCAATCTATTACGGCATGACAACACAAGCAATTTAAAACTGGTATAAAGAATTTCCTGATGACGGGTGCGTTCTACTCAGTCGAGGAGTTTTTAAGGAGTGATATTGTCATTGTATGAATGTATTTTTATTGTATTTTCTTCTCGACTTATGCGTATGTATTTTGTTGTATATTCTGTTTAAAATGACGTGTGTAAGCCTTGGGCATAGAACACTAATACAGTTATTATTATTATTATTATACAGGGTATTTAATAATATATGCGCAGGACTTCAGGATGTGATAGCTTGTCCAAAAATTTGAAAAAGTTTCTATGAACTTACCCTCTAAAATGCACCATTTTCGAGATACAGAAAATAAGGACTTTAACAAGAAGGGATTTTTTTCAAAGTTCCGTGGCACAGTAAGGAACACTAAATAAATTTTTGTATCGTCCACAAAACGCAGGCACATGCAGATCGATCCTTTCCAAGATTAAAGGGGCGTCTACATTATTATTAAATATTTAAACAGGAAACAGAGCGATAGTATTTTCCTTCTAATTGATAGTTTAGTCAGATCAAACAACTGACGCGCGAACCCATACGATCTAAACCCAATGAAAACATTATATTTTTTTGTAATATAGATATTTAATAAACTTGTTCTCAACATTCTACAATAAATTTGAGTAATGAATCGTTCCAGGATCCCATACTATTACCGCATACTCTAACCTAGATCGCACAGTGAATTAAATAACAATTTCAAAGTCTCCACATTTGTAAAGCAATGGGCATTTTTAATGACGAAACCTAACACGCGTAGTGCTTTCGATGTTGTGCGCTTAATGTGTTCATCAAAACATAAATTATGAGAAAAAAGAACACCTAAATCCTTCTTATCAACAACTGAACTTAGTTTGATATTGTTAATTCTATATATAAAATGTATTGATTCTCTTCTTAATGTGTATGTCATAGACTCACATTTAGAGATATTATAATGAAGTTTGTTTACCTGATACCAATTAAATACATTATCCAGATTAGTTTGCAAAGAATGGCAGTCCTTCCAGCTACGTACAGTTGTACAAATTTTCAGATCATCAGCAAAAAGCAAGCATCTTGATGAATCAAGACCAACGGCAGATCATTTATAAATAGCAAAAACAACAATGGTCCTAAGTTACTACCCTGCGGAACCCCCGACTCAATCCCTAGCCTATCCGATACTGCATTTTTATAAGTTACATAAAATAATCTATAGGACAAGTAAGAGACAAAGAACTTAAAGGTTTCCACAGAAAAACCATACAGTGCCAGCTTGCGTAAGAGCACGTCATGATCCACCCGATCGAACGCCTTTGCAAAATCCGTATAAACTACATCAACTTGCTCCTTACAATCAAGCACTCCGGAGACATAATCACTAAAAATGGTCAAGTTTACCTCAACAGATCGCTTCGAGATAAATCCATGTTGATCAATATGTATCGACTTACTTACATGATTGACAACTTTTTGGTAGATTATTATTTCAAATATTTTTGCAAAACATGAGATCACTGAAATTGGTCTATAATTACAGGTTACTTTTGCCACTTTCCATTCACTTAGAAATGTATTAGTTCTAATGGACAACTTAAAAATCATGTATAGCAGAACTATAAAGAACTCCTTACAGCCCTTCACAATATAAGACGGGATACCATCAGTCCCCTCAGTGCGTTTAGCTTTTAATCAATCGATGGCATCACCAATCTCATCCATTGAAATAGAGTGCAAACTAAACAGGTCTAAAGTCATAAGACGATAGCGAATAACAAGTATTTAAAATAGTTAGCAAAAGTAGAACTTATTTCACCCGCAGATGTAAGAGAAACTCCCTTAAATTGGAACCGGGGACTCTGGTCTAAGGTGCCCCGTTTATTGGCAACAAAATTCCAAAATACATTTGCTCTACACTTTTCGTGTAATTATCAATTCTCTATACTTACCAAAATGATAATCAGAACTATTCCTACGATTGAAATGAAATTTTTTAGTTTTAATATCATTTATTATGTCATGAGTAAACGAAACCGGATACTTTCTGGGACCAATCAGTTTACTCGGAACGCAACTAGCCATAAACTCACTCACGATACTGTAAAATTCAGTGACAGCGTCATCCACGCTATTATAGGTACTTAAGAAGGAAAAATCCGCATTTGATAGCAGGTCATACAATAGCAAGAAATCCGCGTTCTTATAATCGTTAACGCAACGTTGAGGCAGAACTGTTTGGCCAGAAAGGTAACAAGACAACTTGATAGTTAGGCAAGGATGATAATGATCCTCCTCGACAAGTGAGAAGTCAAAAGATTCAACACGTAGAACAATACTAGACAGGACCAAATCCAATGTATACCCTCGTGAGTTCGTCACGTCATTGCATGACCAGCATCCGTACAGACTAAGGAAATCGCCAATAGGGCCGTTAAGTATTTTTTTTTATTGGCATATTCGAAAGTTTTTTAAAATTGGTTGACCTTATATTTTTTAATTTTTGATTCTGAGGCTTAGTTTTTCCAAAAAAAAATTAATAAAGTTTGAAACTACAGGGCGCGAACGCCAAAGTACGTCACTCAGATTTGAGCGTACAAAAATCAATAAAATTCCTGGAGAGAGACAATGCTACGAATCTTATGCGCTAGAAGAAAACAGAAGAAAACGGGAGCGAGCGTAACGTCTATGATTTCTTTCTTCTTACTTAAAACGTCATCTGGAGTCGGAGGTGGGGAATTTCAAACTTTTACATTAATTATTGCAAAAATTAAACAATTTTCGAACGTGAAAACGTTACTAATCCGTCTAATTAAAAGACGGCATTTCTAATCGATTGACCTTAACGGCCCTATTATGTTATATCTACCGCCGCCGACGGAATAAAAACCAAATCGACAATTCCCTATGAGAGGCAAATTAAAATCGCCAAGAATTACAAAACTAGCATCGTGAGACATAAATACATTACTCATTAATTCTACAAACTCTCGATACACTTCAATCCCACTATATGGTTTAATATATACTACAATTATAATGAAGACACCCTGTGTTTAACGGAATAAACGAAGATATAAATTTTGATCTCATGGCCACCAATACACCACCAGTCACCATAAGCACGATCAACTCTAAACACATTATATCGTGAATCAAATAATTCAGTATCACAAATGAACGCATTTAATCATGTTTCAATGATACAAACAACTGAAAACTCACAAATAAGCACGTTTAACAAAAAAGTGGTCGTCTTAGTTCTTAATCTTCACACATTCTGATAATAAATTGTAGGTTTTTTCATCAAATCAATATTAAACGAAATTTAAATTAATAAAAAAAAAAAATAAACAAGAAATTAAAGTAACAACAAAAAAATATAAACAAGAAATTATCGTAACAAAAAAAAATAAACAAGTTATATTAATCACCTACATACTAATCTTAAATTATTATATACTGATTTATTTTTTTTTACATTTTATTAGGTTATCTAGAACAAGGCCTTCTGGTTACGGATCTTCAAAAACTCCGTTCACACTATTTCCAATCAAAGAAGTGGAGGACTGATGTACTTTCCCTATTACCCACGGACATCTTTTACGTGTGGTTTCCACCATACGAATGTGACATTAAAGTGCCGTGTCCGGTAATAATCCGTTTGAATCGACTGTTTCGTCTCCCCCGTTTATGGGAATGGTTCGAAAAAACCGAAACGGACACGAATTATCCGAATGTGTTTAGGATTTGTAAAGTTGTGCTTGCTATTTTGGTATTAATCCATTGGAACGCGTGTTTATATTTCGCGATTAGTTTCGCTATCGGTTTCGGTTCGGACAACTGGGTCTACAATTTAAATGGCACCGTAAACGCAACCCTTATGAGGCAGTATATTTACAGCTTTTACTGGTCTACGTTAACGTTAACGACAATCGGAGAAACACCCGTTCCGGAAAACGACGCTGAATATTTATTCGTTGTTGCTGATTTTTTAGCTGGTGTTTTAATCTTTGCGACAATTGTCGGTAATATAGGATCTATGATTTCAAATATGAATATTGCTAGAGTTGATTTTCAAAATCGGATGGATGGTGTTAAACAATATATGGCTTTCAGAAAAGTCGGAAGGGAGTTGGAAGGGCGTGTAATAAGGTTTGTTTGAATTTTTTTTTATACATTACGGTTTCTTTTCATGATATTATGTGTCTTGCATCAGGTGGTTTGCTTACACGTGGGCGGAAAGTGGAGCCCTCGATGAGGAACGAGTGCTCGGCGCTCTACCGGACAAATTGAAGGCGGAGATAGCCATTAAAGTCCATTTAGAAACGTTACAGAAAGTAAGGATTTTCAAGGATTGCGAGCCTGGATTGCTGGAGGCTCTCGTGTTGAAGTTACGCTTGCAGGTAATTGAAAATAAACAGCGTTTTCTGGTCAATTTCACGTAAATATAAACATATTTGAAAATAAAAATATACCATGTTTAATAATTAATAAGAAGTTTACCCTTTAATAATTATTTATTTAGAGAACGATATCATGTAATATGAATGAATTAGAATTGGGTCATTAAGTATCCATAAATATCTAATTTAAAAAAAACTACAATAATTCAATGTACTTGACAATACTCAAAACAATAGAGATAACAACCCCGAATCCTTTTACGTCATCACCGCAATCAAACCCTCCTATCCTATTCCACCGTTCCTTCAGGAACAATAAACCGGAGCGCGAGATTTCACAGTATTATTTACCTCCTCCGACTCCAGTATATCCTCTATTCGCTGCAAACTGCGCACAAAAGCCGACCGCAGTAAAGATGCCAATCTCTGAGACCAATCAACCGACGAACTGACTTGTTTACTCCCTCGAAGGTGTTCTCCCCGGGCGACTATATTTGCCGCAAGGGCGACGTCGGCAAGGAAATGTACATAGTGAAACGTGGTCGCCTCCAGGTTGTCGCCGACGATGGAAAAACTGTCCTCGCTACCCTTGGCGCCGGATCTGTCTTTGGAGAAGTCAGCGTACTCGACATTGCCGGAAATCGAACTGGAAACCGAAGAACTGCCAATGTTCGCTCTTTGGGATATTCAGATTTATTCTGTTTAGCTAAAGAGGATTTACTCTTAGCTTTAGCGGATTATCCAGAGGTAAATATAAACTTGTGTAGGATGCGGCGATATAATTTTGGATGATAATAAAAACCAAACCTAATCAATAAACCCCTAAATTTTTATAAGTAATTCTACAATTTTAGGAGTGCGGGAAGTTAGCCCCCCATTTTTTGATTTTTAAATTTTTCATAGTTGTTCTAGATTGTTCTAGAGTTGTTCTACATTGTTCCAAAGCGGCAAATGGAAAAAATAAAAATTCGGCGAGCAAAACTGAAAAAACGGTTTTTTGACTAGCCCCACATTTTTGGAAAAATTAGATTTTCTTTGTTGTTCTGGGTTGTTCTAGTTGTTCTAGTTATTGTTTTAGAAAATCAAAATTCTGGGATACATCATTACGACGTTATAACTAAAAATAGGTTTATCTGCCCAAATGTCTAGTTGATTGCTGTGACGATAGTTTTTCTATTTTCAATTCAATATTACAAATATACCTATACTTATTATACCTAAAGCAATCAGGAACAGCTATTATTTTCAGTAGAACAACTCTATAAAGGACACTTTACTCTTTGAAAATTAAAGTTTCAGTCAGTAATTCTTGCGTCAGTGGTTTTAAATTACACAATAAGAATTAAAACACATAGAACAATCTAAAATACCTCAAACTTTGCTGATTCAAATTGTTCTAGATGTGTTTTACGTTTAAACTATGGAAAAAGAGGTTTTTCTGGTTCAAAATCATATCTCCTTAAAAATACAGCGAAATGCAGACCGAACAAGAAAAATAATAAATCAACAAATGAATAATCCAACTATTCGATCAGCAAACAAAAATACACTATTTGCATTATACAGGGTGTCACACAAAAAACGCCCCAAGCTGTAACTCTGTCATTTATATTCCGATTTTCATGACCGAGGCATCAAATGAAATGGTTTGATGAATACTATGATTCATGCTACAAATAAATTTTTTTCAAGGCCATCTTCAATTTTAAGCGATTATTAACTTTTGTTTTTCAAATTGCTCCATATATTTCTCTTCACGTCATTAGATAGAGATTGTTTTTCTGAATCCACTGATGTGCAATACATCCACTTTGAATTTTAGCAGAATAAAGACATCTGTATATACAGGTTGTCGCACAAGAACGCCGTAAGCTGTAACTCTGTCATTTACCTTCCGATTTTTATGAACGAGGTATCAAATGAAATAGTTTGATGAATGCTATGATTCATGCTACAAATAAACTTTTTCCAACGCCATCTTCAATTTAAAGCGATTATCAACTTTTGATTTTCAAATTGC